AAATGTTACGGTTTGGGTCTCGTTCTTCATGCGCGTCGCTAGTGGTCTGCTCTGTTGTTCGTCCTCCTCAACATCACTAGAAAAAATAAACAATAAATATCAACTGGGGGATGGAGGTACTCGCTTGGTCATCGTTGGCTCCACCTGCTCCGTTCGATGAGCTTGTTTTCCTTTCGCTGGTTGTTTTAATCGCAAGTTCGTTGTTCTTTGGGTGCTTCATGGCTGTGGATAGCGATCTTCTTCAATCTTCTCGAGCTTTTAGGTCATACACGCGCGTGTCCCCAGGGTCTGCTGCGTCGGGTACTTCTGGTCGCATGCAGGACACAGGAACAGCGCGTCCGAGAAAGACGCCTCATAGGCAGTATCATAGTCGCAGCATAGGGCGCAGCGTGGTGTTCTCTGTCCGAAAGACCGCGCCGCGTCCAAATGTGCGATGTCGTCCGAGCCGGACGGACTGACCTTGGCCTCGAGCTTCTTGTCGTTGGTCTCGGACGAGCTCGATACGTGCAGCCTCATATCTGCTACTTGTAGGTTCTTCTTGTGCTTGGGTGGGCGCCCAGGGCCCCGGCGGGTAGGCGTAGTGCCCGTTGGTGGCTTCAAGCGTTGTATCCGTTTGGGTTTCTTCGTGGGACGCGGGGACGTCACAGTCTCGTCATCGGAGCTCTCATCACCTGAGTGAGACGCATCGGACGCCTCGTGGGCCGTTGTTCGCAGTAGAAACGCCAGCTGCTGCCGCTCCGTCATGAGACTCGGATCCATGTGCAGTAAATGATCCTCCTCCTCGTCCAGCGCCCAGAACGAGCCCGGCTTCTGGCGATGGGTACGTTGGCGCTTCCTGGCACGCGTGGCCATCTTCGTCGGTCTCTCCGCTCTATGCCTCGTGACTTCTTCAGATCCGACGTGGACTGCGAGGCACCCACGCCACTTTCGTTGCTGCTGCTCCTCTTACTCTGTCGCTTCGCTTTTGCTTGCCTTTTCAAAGTGAGAAACGAATCGCATTTCTAACAGAATTTCTATCTGTTTTAACCAATCAGAAACCTATATTGCCACTTCAACTCGTCGGCGCTTACAATTGCCCCATCGACGTCGTCCCTACCCGAGAGTAATATGCACCACGATAGCGGATTCTGTTCGCTCGGCGCAGAAGTTGCGGATGCGAAATAGCGCATGCTTGCCTTGACCTAGCGCTGCTTAACGCGAGTCTGCATGCCGAAAGAGAAGTCCAGTACCTCAATATCCACGTGAAGTCCGACTACAAGTTGCACCCGCTACTTAACTGGGACCTGAGCTCAGGCAATGGCTTCTTGTTCCTCTCGAGTAAGCATGCTCAACTGCTGACGGATTTTTTGGTCCCCCAGTCTACAACGATTCACACTCTGTTAAGCGGTGAAGACGCGCTTTTTCGACACGAGACAGTAGCAGCTCAAGCGGTTTTTGCCGGTTTGGAGTGGGAGCCTAGATAGCACAGCTGCCACACGAGAGGCAACGCGACGTCAACCTTGGATATTTTCCGCTCAGCTAGTATTGCGTATCCGATTCCGTTGCAGCCAGCAACTATCAATTGCAAGTTACTCGACTGCTTGACGCTTTATTGTAACTCATCGATCGCCTTGCTCATTGCATGGCCGACGTTACATTCGTCTTCGATCCTTTGATTTGTTCAATACCGTGTCTTGTGTCGCAAAGCTAGAGGAGGCGTAACACTTGATCCCGTACCCATGCCCGCACCCATTCACACGAGAAATAAACTCAAGAGCTAGCTTGTCGGGCAAATGAACGCTAGGTGCGTCCTGAAGGTTTAACAATCGTAGCCAGTCTGTTTCTTGTCCAATCCAGTAGATTGTCAACAGAAAATCAGCACGAATGTCAATGCTTTATTACAGAATTCCAAGCTGGCTTTTGCGCTCTGTTTCATTTCGAAGCAATCGACGTACCATTATTATCACTTGTGAATGTTAAGTTTCACTCACTAGAAAGAGGGAAATCCTGCTGCTCTGCATACTTATCCCAGAGGTTGCAACTTTTTCTCGTTCATGATGAGTAGATGGGCATCCTTCGGAACACTCTTTCATTGTTGCTGAAAAATAAAATCTCGTAATCTCCCTGGGTGCATGAGCTCTGATGCCGCGCAATCCGGGAATAGTTTCTTTTTGCCAATCTGGAATCCTTCATGCTGCTCACCTCAGAGTTCTACAACCAGCGCATTTTAACTGTTGAAAATACGCGTGTAGAGCTGATCATGCATGGCCTGCACGAGGTCCAGTACAGGGGCAGACGAGTACGAGTCCTCCACCACTCGGTTCTTCTTGGCCTGAAACACATTCTCCAACAGCGGTGTCATTTCGAACTGCAACTTCGCTGCTTCAAGCGGTCCCACCAGATTGAGCCTCGTGGCGGCACTCAGCATGTCGCGTGTAGTCATGAAGAGATACATGCGCTGTGTGGGCTCAGCCTCCACACCAAGCAGAGCACAGACAACGCCAAAGAGTACAGCATGGTGGACACCTCCATGTTTTCGCTTCTTTGTTTCTTTCCGTACCGTCAGTAGTGTTTGAAAGCGAGGGTAGCTAGGCGCGTATGTGGATAGTGCCAGTCTCAGCAGAGCCGCGCCTTGCGCGAAAGAGGCTTTGCGCGCAACGTGGTTCGAATAGAGTGCGGTGGCGTGGTGATTAAGACTTAATACCGATTCCGCAAGGGTGTCGGCATCGAAATCGGGCGC